ACGTGACTCTTTGCTCGAGCAGCCCTTGGAAGCCCCCCTTTGCGTGCCTCCCGCTGAGGGGCTGTCCTCCTCTGGACCTGGCCGTTTGCTATGCTCGCTTCCCCCCTGATGAGGTGGGTGAAAAGGTATGTATGCAGGATATAGAAATGGGCCTGCAAGAAGGCTTTTAGCATCAGACCTAGTCATCTGATGGGCCCTACCAAAACCGAAGATTCTGACGGCCCCCCCAGCCTGCTTGGAGGATCATGGGACTTCGTAACTATAGTTATAAGCCCCTTAATTGGGGTAGTACTTATTAGTTTAGTTACCCCAATAGTAACCCTAGTTACTAAGTCCCATGATCCTTTAAGTATCCCTTATAGTATCCCTTATAGTATTCCTTATAGTAACCCCTTTACGTACCCTTTGCCCTTTGCCTGCGTCGTTTCCGGTGGTCGGCAAGTCCAAGGCACTGCTCGGCTCATCCTCGGGTTGCTCCGACTTGGGACCTGAAAGAAAGGCGGATCAACACGTAGCATAGGGGCCTTAGGAATTCCTTGTAGAATCGGGTTCCCGTTTAAAGGGGTCTATCAGGGCTACGATCAGGGCTCATACTGGGATTTAGTACTAGGGGCCTTGATAATTAGAACAGGGTTTTGGGGCCCATTATACTATAATTATCAACACTTCTGGGAGCTTCCGAAAAGCAGGACCCTTCTTAAGAGCCCCAAAGTAAGGTACCCCTAATTTTTCGGAAACTCCCTTATGGCATTCCTCGTGCTTTGAGTCTTACGGTATGCGGTTTTCGTTGGGATTTGGAGCTCCAGACGTTTTCGGGTTTCGCAAAAGGCAGGCAAGACTTGACGACGATTGGTCCACTGAACCAGAACTACCGAAGCCCAAGGACTTCGAAGGGCTGTCTACCGGGCGAGGCTATAGGGCTTTAGGGGTGTATTAGGGGTGCGGTGTAAGGTTGTAAGGCATTGTAAGGGTTATCGATATTCGGGTGTCGTTGGCTTTACTCTTTGGGCTTCGGGGTTTCGACTCTCACAGCCGCATAATCCGGGAGAAGGGTCTTACCGTGTGTGTACGGCTGTGGAACCGTCCCATAGTTACAGTCGACACAACCACGCACACAAGTCTATCTAACTCAGGATTGCTCCAGGGTTTTGGCTACAGGTTTGTTGGGTTTCGTCGCTCACGCTCGCTCCGTATAGGATCCAGGGATTCCGCTCTCGCAACTCGGACACAGCCAGACCGATTGATTGGTCTGCGAGAAACACCATAATCGGCATGTTTCAAAATTTGGGGATTTCTGATTTATGCTTCCCATTGTCGCCAGGCTGGTCGCCATGACTGCCGCCACTGGGACTAGGAACCCTGACAGGATAAGCACAGCTACAGTGGCTTGTTCTCGTTGGCCTCTGCCCGACGCTTCCACTCGAAATGCTGATGACCTCAAGATTCCCTTCCAGTCAAATCACATGCAGCTTTCAAGGGTCGTCTGAAAAGCTGCACTTCACAACACCCCCACGAAAACTTGCCTACATCGCATCCCATGACCCTGACCGCTTGCAGCCCCCATATTTGGCAGCACCCAAGGCATGCGCGGGCTATCCGCAGTTTCTGCACCGCCTCCTGGTCATCCCAAGGCAAATGTCTGCAAAAACTCCGGAGCAGAGGTTATCGCACCTCTGTCTTTAGCAGCAACACGCACAGTTTGGGCTTACACGCCATGCTTTGATGGGCGACGGAGGATGCTGAAGTGTCAGGGCCCATCGTCAAAACGGAACTGCACAATCCGACCCTGCAGCTTCCCTGACTGCTTGTTGCTGAAACCGCTCCTCGGCCAGGAAAGTCTCTTGTTCCAGCACCTGCGCATAGAAACACTCGGCACACGCACGATCCAAAGGCTTGGCTCCCACCTCAATCAGGGCGCGGTAGTCGAACGCCTCCTTTCTCATCAACTGCAGTGCACGCCTTGAACGAGAGACGGACAGTAGTAGGCATTGGCAAGTGACTACACATGCATGGCTACCACAGGATTCGATCACAAGCGAGGACACAACGACGACCTACACGAGCCTTTCGAGCGTGGGTAGCTCCAGCTTGCCGCGAGAAAGTTTCCAAGAGTTTTCCGTTTGTCGGGACTCAGCTGCCATCATTAAGGACAAACGTCGAGATGGAACGTACTACTAGAGGATATGTGATGTGCTACCGTTATTCACGAGTTCTCACGTGCTCGGTGGCCCTTGCCAAGTGCCAGCTCTGAGAGAAATCTCAGCCAGCGGCTCTTTTGACTCGAGTTCTGCACGAAGCCTGCGACTGAGATAGGGATGTTGTTGTTCCACCACAAGCGAACCCGAATAGAGACCATAAACCACAAACCGACGAAGCAGTCTAACACCCACCCAAAACATCGGCACGAGAATGAATGAATTGTCAAATACCCAGCCAGACGGAAAACCTTGCGATTCGATGGAGTGCTGCGACAGCCCTGAAAATATGTGGAGAATGCCCAAAGTATGATCTTGAACTGAATTGGTGCAGGACTGCGGGTCTCCGACACATCTTCCATGATACAAGATTCCCATGCTGGCTTTGGAAACGTTCAGCACCTCCAGCTAGAATGCTGAACTCAGTTCACATCTTCCGAAACTAAGCAGCCGAGTAGTAACAAAGCGACAACAAAAGGATCGAAAAGCAATACTGAACAAGCCTAGGACATCTCGATGCCAAACATCAGGATTTCAGTACCTGCCAAGGCCTGGAGGCCTGGAGTCCAACGGCTTTCTTGCAACACGCATCTTGCCGCAGTTCCCACACCGACTATGCAAACCAAAGAACTCCGTGTCTTGGCAAACACCTCACGACCCCTTTCTTCTCAAAAGCCTCAGCCTGAAGCCCAAACAACTAAGGTCTGTCGCGAAAGCGCAAAGCATCTACCCCGCAATGGCAAGCGCTGCGCTGAGGCGACGCATCTAGAAGGTTTAGGCTCAATCGTTTCAACAACTGGAACAATACTGGACGAGGCCCTGTGGGCATGCTTCAAGAGACGCCGGACACTGAAAGCCCTAAAACCGACAGCAACCCAGTCCACCTGAAAACTTGGACTCCCAAACATCGCCTCTGGATCTCAGCTTGGTGCGCCAGGTAATTAGAGACCTTGGACAAAGTTAGGTTGATTTCAGTCTGATTTACCGGAGTCATCCACAAGTTAGAAGGTATTAAGGTTCACCCCCATTTGGGAAAGACTTTGGTGCAGGGCTACGGATTTGTAAATTGGGTCAAGCAGTCTAGGTGTGCGGTGTGCAGCCAGGCTTTCTGGGCTTCTGGACGTTCAGTGCGCCACGGGATTGTTCTTGCCGAATCCTTGCGTTTGTTGTTCTCAGAACATGCATTCTCTCAAGACAAGAGAACTTGACGTGGAAATTCAGGGTTGTGATCGTGGTGTCGTGATGATGACATAGAACCTACGCTTCAGCTTCCGATTTCTGCTGAAGGTTGCCTCCTCAGCCTACCGGTGGACTGACATACGCCGTCAAGCTGTCAACATGCAAGAGAAGCTGAAGATCAAGGCATGACCGGTGAAGTGTAAACATGGACACCAGCTGAGTGATGCAGGGAGGCTTCTCCATCTCTCGGTAATAAAACCAGGTGGAAACCGAACTGTCCCACCCCTCAGCTTGAAAACCTTACCCAAACCACAAACGATTTGGCAGCAGAAGGGCGACAGGCACAGCTACCTTTGGCGCAGGCTCGCTGCGAGCTGTATCCTGTCGAGGAAGACCGACAAACTGTCGGAAAACAAAAAAGCTTGTCCCCATATCTCGAACAGTCTCACGATGGAGTGGCCAAGCCAACTGCCCAGCATCCATAATGGAATTCAGTAGCTGGGGCTTGTATCGATTTGAAGTTGAGTGAAAGTCAAACACAGCACAACTGTCACGAAGAGGTCATGTTAAACTGACAGCTTCAGATCGGATCGAGAACATGTTCTGCTAGTAATATCGGTATGTCAATAATCATACCACGGCCAATGCAGTTCTGCCGTGTGCAGCAACCCTCAATCAGAAGTCGCTTAGGGCCTTACGATCCCGAAAGTAGATCTAATCCAAGTGCACATCACACCACGTGCCAGCATGCTGAGTTTGACAGGCTCCCACTTCGTAGACCCCCGCATTCTGCCAAATCCAAGGGACATGCCCATGTGGCCAGGAAGATACCAAGCATACATGACTTCTGAAAGTAGCCTTCGAGAACCGGCAACTAAACGACCTAAGTGTTTGACCTAAAACCCAAAGCATACCCCTGCTCGGAGGCTGTGTCTTTTTAAGCCGATTGCCTGCGAGCGCCGCTGCGAGCGGCGTGGGGGTGGTGCACGCGGCTTCGCCTCCTCTTCAGCCTCCCAAAGATCTCCGTAGAAAAGCCAGTCCTACTAGTAATACATCTTGGCTGCAATTAGAATAGGGTTCCTTTCAAGGCGTCTTTCAGGGTTACTATGAGGGTACTATAACATAGGGGCGCCCATGATACCATATACTATAATAAGGAAATATGAGGAGGCCCTGAGGGAGCCCGAATCCTTGGGCTCTTCTCTTGGAAGGACGCGGGGGGATCTTTTGATGCGCCGAAGCCGTATAGACTGAAGCTCTGCAGTATAGATAAGTGGAGGATCGAAACCGTCGAGACACACGCTTCCTTTACCCGAAGAAATCCGAAAGTGCATGACGTTTTGAGTGGCAAGCGCCCCCGCCTGCCTGAATTTGTATGCCACTCGCTTCGCCTTGCACCCTCTTTGTACGCATTTTGGCCAATGCGCGAACTGCGGTCGGCGGAGCTAAGCATACGCTGCGAAGCACTTCCAGCAGCGTTGCTCGGCACGACCCTGTCATCTGCGGCAAACAGGTGCCGGCCACAATGCAGGACCTGTCACCAACAGCTGTGCAGCGCCGTCTTGGCTGCTGCCGCCGTGGTTGGGTCATTGTCCTGGTGAACTCGGAAAATGACGAGTTTGTGCCTCACTCTTTTGCCTGCTTCCCATTCTGCCGCCAAGGCCGGACCTGATGGAAAGTCTGTTGGCCTGTGGGTTGTCATTGGGGCTGGCCGCGCAAGTGAACGGATGAGGTCTGAATCCTGCAAACCTTGGTCTGGTTAACACAAAAACACACACACACACACACCCACACACGCACACGCAGGGGCTAAAACATCTCAGCGCATGTTCATGGCGAAAGGCGAGGGACATGTGTGCAGGATGGGTCGCAGACCCCATAGCGTTCACCATATGCAGTGGTGGCGGAAAAGCTAAGGGAATTCCGATGGCTTTGGCACGGTGTCGTGGCTAGAAGTCTCCAAACACAACAAAACTAGGACCCCTCATTCTTATGGTCTTGCCATGAGCATTCGCGGGCGCTTCCGTATTCAACCATCAACATTTATGACTGAGACTTTGGTTGGCCTCGGCCTGGAAGATCCGTCAATGTTCTGGAATCGAATTGGAAGGGTAAACCTCTAGGCTTGAACATCCCTGAGCACTGGTTTCGTGGAGGGGGAAGGCTATGACGGAGAAGCCGCATGGCTCCTGGGATGACTCTGGCCTCGAACAGTGGAGGTGGGGGTGGGCAGAGACGGCACTAGCGCATGCATTCGGACTGTCTCTGCCTCGAACATGAAAGTGAGCGTGGTCACCAGAAGGCTCGGAAGCAGATAGAGCCTCGCGGGCAAAGCGAAGCCGGACACACTATGCAGGTAAGACCAACCATCTAGATTTTACACCCTAAAACCAACAGGTAAATTATAAACTCTAGACTCTACCCTCAACCACTCTAAAAGCCCTGAAACCCTACGTCCCAACACGCTAAGCCCACCGAGATCCCCTCCAAGACACATGAAGGTCTCCTGGACGTAGCCGCTCCCCTGGTGCTCGAGCACCTCTGCTCGAGTGTTCCTGGGCTTCTTCCACTGGCGGATGCTTACTACAAAAACAAACACAGTAGCAAGTAGCAAGCAAAAGAACTCCAACACATCACGCGCAGCTCGTCTTACCAGCTGCTTGTTTGGAGTCTTCTGAGCTCTTCAGAGCGCCTCCGCTAGTTGGGGCCGGGTCTCCAAGCCTCGTTCGTCCGTGTGGCAGAGCCGACGATGCTGCTACAAAGGGCCTGGGCTATGGTCTTGGTTTCCAGGATGGAAACGTCAAAAAAGGCTCCACCGACGTGATGCTGCACCGACCGAGGCAGGAACCTCGTCCGTGACACTCTCGGCAGCGTTCTGCTGCAGCTTCGCCCGCTTATGGGCCATCAGCTTCTCCAGGGTGAAGGGGCTCCAGGACCCGTAAGTCATCAAGTCCTGGAAAAAGCGCCCCAAAATCCCCACATCAAGGCAGGATCCCACATGCGACTGAGCTGCCCGGTTGCCCCAAACAACCCACAACCTCCTGCGAAACAAGCGTGTAAAACATCACAAAGCTGGGCAAACCAACCTTAATACAACCTCTGTGAACCTCCAACTCAAAGCGACTGTCCCTGAGCTGCAGGAAGAAGTGCATAGCCGAAGATCCTTGCAACCGTGCGCGTACCCGTGCCGCCTGGCAGCGGAACAATGGTCGAAAATTGGGAAGCTCTGATTTTAGGGTTGGCGGGCGAGCGCAAAAGTCTTGCTGTTGAAGGACCATGACTATGAGAACTTTGCCCTTCAGATCTTGGAAGCAGAACGGCGCCAGTGTGTGCAAAGGAGTGAGGGTTCCGAGCACAGAAGAAGCTCGCAAAGCCCCCTATGCCAACATGCAAGGTTTCATGGACATTCGGGTGCTGTCCAGTGAGCCTGAACGGTGCAACATTTACATTCCACCCATCGCGGCCATGCGGCATCATATTGGCAGTGCAAGGCAGTCTTGCTTGCATGGCCGGCCCGGCCCAGCCCAGCAAAAAATCCACTTCTAGCAGCCCCGTGCCTTTCGCCCCTCCACAGCCAGCTCCGCCAGATCGCATGTCGGCGTCATGTTGGCGAGCTTTTCCTACCGATCTTGACTGCAGGAATACCAAGGCACAGGGCAATGCTTGTTGTACATGCCATCTGCCTGCAGGAACACAAACGACCGTGCGACGAGGTGCAACATGACGATGGTATGACATTGGATGCCAAACGCTGCCATCTGATACAAGTTATTGAGTCTCGAACGCCTCGGGCTTCCCTACCCTCACATACCGACTGCACCTCCAGGCTGCCCACAATTTCATGGTAGTTCGCGCGGACCTTGCGAGCACTGGCATTAGCCCAACCTAGACCATGCTTTCGCAACTGAATCCGCCCATATCGGCGCAGCCAACTGCAGTCGAAAACAAACGCCGATGAACAATGCAAGGTGATGGGCAGGGCAGGCCTTTAAACCAAAACGAAAATTATCTTGCATGTTTCGGCATTCGACACCATCCAAGGACGTGCGATTTGTGTAGTTGAACGTCGAAACGTGGTAGTCGAAAACTCGATATCGGGGCTGGGACGAGGGAACACGACGTGCTCGAGCTTCAAGTTTCGGCAAGAGCACCGGAATCCAACCCATGGTTGCTCCTGTCTGGCATTTGGCAGGCATGATCCCCGAATCATTTCTAGCCGTTTACAACTCTCTAGCATGCCTGGTTTGGTATGGAGCCCCGGCAGGCCGCAAGGAATCTTGGTGCAAGGCCACTCCAACTCAGCGCAGTCGAAGCGCTCTCGCGCGCAGTCATTCCCCTGGTCCTTCGTGCCTCTCTTTCTTTCGCCAGGCTAGGGAGGCGAGCCCCGCCCTTGGGGGCCGCCCGATGTTGGCGGTGCGCATGGTATTTCATGCGGTAGGCTAGAGTTACGGTCACCCCAACTGCAGTCTCTCTCTCTCTCTCTCTCTTGCGTGCTTGCTTGCAAGGCGTTTGGGAGGTGGGGTTCGGGACCCCACACCCCCTGCGCGCGAGCGCTACGCCACTGTTCGAGTTCGGCTCTCTCTCTCTCTCTCTCTCTCTCTCTCTCTCTCTCTCTCTGTAACTTGTATCCAGGATGCGGCTCGGTGGCCGCATCGAACCCCCCGGAACACCAAGCTAATGATGCCCCGAGTCCTCGCCCGTGGCTTCCGAATTGTGCGGTCCGAATCACCAGAAAAACTTAAAATTTTTGGCTGGACTCCAGTCAAGAACTGATTCCATTGAAACCTGCTCGCTAAGGATGACCTGAAAATGCATGCTGTGCTTCGTTTAGTTGCTTTCGGACTTGCCGAAAGCGTTGCCATGCGAATCAATTTAGGCCCTCCCCCCATCCCCCCCCTTTCATGATACGTTTCCAAGCCATGAACTCCCCCAAGCCCGGCCTGCCAGCTCGCCAGGCCCCTCTCCGGAGGTGCCCCCAGGGCGCGCAGCGCGGCCTCCAGGTGCTGGAGCTCCGGACCTGGGCTTTGTCTGGGGGCGCATTTTCCCACAAAAGCATAAGCGGTGGTCCTTGAGTCCCACGTAGTGATGACGTTAGCACTGCAGCTTGCAGTTTGCCCGTTACCTGGATACCACTAACGCATTCCGGTAATGCTGTGGTCCCTAGCATTACGAGCACCTTTACCCAAAACCCGAACATCATAAAGCGAGCACAGTGCAAACACTTTACAAATAGCCCGACGACAGGAACGTGCAACGGGATTGACATGTCAGGCTGCCGAACCCTGCGAAAACTTTAGCCGGGGTGAGCTTCAAAAGTGTAACAACGAAACGAGCAAACCTTTCCAAACCAAGTGAAGGGCTGAGAACGCTGGGCACGTTTCAGAAAAACGCAATCCTAGTTCTCGTGGCAAAGGTTCATCGTCACTTCTATCTTAGAACTCTCTCTGTCGACAAGTTTGTCACTCCCGGGCGCCGCCCGCTGGGAACAAATCTGGCAAGCTACCTTCTGCCTTCGGCACTTTTCGTGCTGAGGGGCTCTCCGGATGGGGCAGCCAGCACCTGCCAAGCACTAGGCGAGAACCTCGTCATGGTGTACAAGACTGTTTCCCGGCATCAAGCTCCTAAGGTAAGCCAGACGTTGACTTCGGAATGCACGGAAGAGCGGCTAGTTGTAAGTTTTACTGCTCTTAGATGTGATATTTTGCTTTGTTCACAAAACTTCTTAGTTGTAAGTTGTAGCTTTGTTTCCTTATAAACACCAACGAATCTCTGGGTATACTCCTCATGGTTTTCGTCTTCGGCCAACGGTTCCTGCTAGCTTTACTCCTTAACGCTTTTTCGTCTTCGGCGACCTTTTATAAAAGCTCCGTGCCGGCTGTACTCCTTAGGGTTTGTGTCTTCGGCCAAAGGTTCGTGCGGGGTTTACTCCTTAGGGCCTTAGGGTTGTCGTCTTCGGCCTCGGCCACAAGTTTTTGCGGGGTTTACTCCTTACGGTTTTTCGTCTTTTGTAGGAGCTTCGTGCTGGGTGTACTCCCTACGGTTTTGTTCTTCGGCCAAAGGTTTCTGCGGGGTTTACTCCTAAGGGTTATTCGTCTCTTGTAGAAGCTTCGTGCGGGGTGCTCCTTAACGTTTCTGTTTCGGCCAAAGGCTCGTGCTGGGTTTACTCCTTCGGGTTGTCGTCTTCGGCCAAAGGTTCCTGCTGGGTTTGCTCCTTCGGGCTTTTGTGTTCGGCCATCGGTTTCTTCGAGCTTTATTTTTTGAACGCCTTTTTCCGTCTTCCTGATTAGGCGTCTGGAATCTGCATTGCAGAAGGCAGTTTAGCCGACTCGTTTTCGTCGGGTTTACTCCTTAGTGTTGTCCTCTTCGACAGAAACAGCAGATGCGAGCGAACCTATATTCAGGCAAACCACACCCCTTCCAATCCCTCCTAATCCCGACACTGCTTCCCCTCACATGCGGGCCAGGGGGGCCCAGGTTAGGGCATCTGATTCAAGCATGTTTGGTTGGTGGCAACCAGTATATATCTAAGCCAACTAGATCAAGATATAAAAGCCACATACGTGCATGGCCCAAATGTTAAAAGATTCAAAACAACAACTCAGAACACCAGATAAAAACGGGGGTCGGCGGCATAAGAGAGTCTTGGCTTGGAGGGGAGCGCTCACAAAAGGAACAAGTTACATCTAACAAAAAATCGGGCCGCGCTCGGTCCCCGAGCGCTTGCGTCCTGTTGAGTTCTCGGCCAGGCCGAATATAGCCGTCAAGCAGGGAAGGGGGGAGGGCGGGGAGGCGCAGGGTGACGGGCTGGGGAATAGGGGCAGTGGGGGCAGGGGGCAGGGGGCAGAAGAGGGGGGGGGTACGGCAGGTGGAACCGGCGGTGAGGTAGCAGGGGGGGTTGGGTTGAGAGGCGAAGGGTGACGGGGCATGAGGTCGGGGCAGGGCGGCAGGGGGCAGGAAGGAAGGGAAGGAGGAAGGGGGACCGGGAAGCAGGATTTTCATTATTTTAATATTTTCATAAATAAAATAACTAAAATAGACTGAATTTAATTATTTTAATTATTTTCTTCGGCGTGAAAAATAATGAAACTAAATAAAATCGGCTGCACATCCATTGGCAGGCACCAGGACCACCCGATTTAAATAATTCGAATATTAAAAAATACATCGGCTGATTTTAATTATCTTAATTATTTTCTTTCTTCGGCGTGAAAAATAATCAAAATAACTAAAATAAGCTGATTCTAATTCCCCACATCACTGTGGGGTTTTTGTTTTTGGCCTGCACCGCCCCATCCCGGGCCTTCTCCTTCTCCTTCCCTCCCCCCACAGGCGACACATACGACACAACACACACAACACAACACACCACACACAGCACAACACACACAACACACGACTCACAACACACAACACAACACACACAACACAACACACACAACACAACACACCACACACAACACAACACACACACACACACACAACGCACACGAGAGACACACACACACACACACACACACGGGAAGAGTCTCCCTCGACTGAAATTCTCTCCTCCGAGGGCTCTCGGAGGCTCTTGGAGGGATCTTGGAGGGCTCTTGTGGGATCAGGCGCGCGCTAAAGGGGTCCTGCACTTACGAAGAGTCTTCCGGAGGCTCTTGGAAGCCTCTCGGAGGGCTCTTGTGGGATCAGGCGCGCGCTAAAGGGGTCCTGCGCTTACGAAGAGTCTACCGGGGGCTCTTGGAGGGCTCTTGGAGGGCTCTTGTTGGATCAGGTGCGCGCTAAAGGGGTCCTGCACTTACGAAGAGTCTTCCGGAGGCTCTTGGAGGGCTCTTGTTGGATCAGGCGCGCGCTAAAGGGGTCCTGCACTTACGAAGAGTCTTCCGGAGGCTCTTGGAGGGCTCTTGGAGGGCTCTTGTGGGATCAGGCGCGCGCTAAAGGGGTCCTGCTCTTAGGAAGAGTCTTCCGGAGGCTCTTGGAGGGCTCTTGGAGGGCTCTTGTTGGATCAGGCGCGCGCTAAAGGGGTCCTGCACTTACGAAGAGTCTTCCGGAGGCTCTTGGAGGGCTCTTGGAGGGCTCTTGTTGGATCAGGCGCGCGCTAAAGGGGTCGTGCACTTACGAAGAGTCTTCCGGAGGCTCTTGGAGGGCTCTTGGAAGG